AGGCTGAACGCCTACTTTTAATAATCTGAAAGAATATTGAATGTATCTATTTTAGGGTCGCGAGGCTTTGCCGGTGAAACTCACACTGGGCAAAAGAAGGAATCACAGGACCATGTTTTTGGGAATTGGGAATATTGGGAATAAACCACTGTTTCCATCTAACCAGTCATAGAGAATAAAATCTTCACTGATAAACCAGTGTCAAATATCAAAAGAAACATGGATGTTGCTGCGTTAGGAGAAGGCCTTTTTTTGTATATTATAAATTACTGGTTGTTTTAGATATTGGTCTATGGGTCCCAGAAAAAAACATTGCCATTGTGTTGAATAAACTTTGGTAAAGGAACAAACTATTTGGTAATGAGCATTTTTTATCAGATAAAAAGTTTATTTTTTGATGACCATTTTCAAAATGTATAAGCATCTTGGTGCTTCCATCAAAGTTTTTTAATGCAATATTGAACAATATGCATAAAAACACGGATGGAAATGCAGGTTCTCTGAGCATGAACCATTTCAATTTAGAAGCCGTTTTTAGCTTTGACCCTTGGTTCTAATGTTTGTCCTTTATTTAATTTTTTTTTTTTAGAAAACATGCAACGTGTGCTGCGTTAGTGCTCGTGAAAACTGATCAGAATGCATAGAAATATTTTTTTCTCACTTCACCAAGAGCTTCAGACTCCTGTGCCAGGTAATACTGTTTATTTACTAAGAACAAATCCAGTGTTACCAAGCTTCCTGTCATATGACTAATTTATATTTTAGGACTGAGAGAAAAGCTGAATGCATTTTTAATAGAGTTTCCTGGGGTCCAACATGAAGGAGTGCAAAACTACATCACTGCAGAGCACTTTGCTTATGTGCGGGAGAGAATGTAAACTCTCCTGGCAAGTATCAACAAGGAGATTTATTTTTGTCTATGTCCAGCCCCGGAACGCACCCCCAGAACACACCCACACATAAAATACACATATACATACAGGCTCTATAACACACGAATATGACAAGAGAAGATCCTTTCATTCATTCATTGTCCTGCCTGTTTATTCCCTTTCAGGGTCAACGGGGTCCAGCTCACATCAGGTGCGGGAAGGTACATTTTTAAAAAGACAAATCTTCTGATTCAAGCTATTCACTGCCATTTCCTGATTTGCATCATCAAGCTAGCTCTTATCTTGCAGTCAGAATGGTAATCAAACATGCATTTGTCCAGGAGCATAAGTGCTTTGCTGGAGCACAAAGCAGAGCAACAGAGCTGTGTCGAATTGCTTTTCAGACCCACAAAAGCAAAGGACCAGAGCTTTGTGCTGAACATGCCTGATGGACAACGACTTTCCTCCCACATGTCACATCAGTCCAGAATTCTTATGTCACATGAAAGCATCAACAGACACAGGAATGAACCTGCACATGGAACAATTTTGCACCTTCTTTACTGAGTTACTGGAGTCAATTACAAGCTACAATGCTAAATAAATCAACCACTAACTTCTTACAGCCGCTATAACACTATAACAAGTTTGTGCCAAATCTTAAGTGTATTGTGTTCGCATTTGACTAAACCAAATACAGCACAAAAAAGACAAAGCGGTAAGGAGATGAAAAAATGCTGGCTGTCAAAAGTTTTGAATCACTTAATAACCATTCCACAAAGACAGAACAGAATCAAGCCATTTTCCATCTGATCACAGTCAAAAAAGTCCAGTGGAGAAGTCCAAAATTCAACAGCAGAGGACAGGAGAGACTGTGGGACACAGACTCACCTGACCCAACAGCAAATAACTCCACAAGCAATGACTGCGTGTGGGTACTGGGACTGTTTAACCGATAACCAGTCAGCCAGTCACTTGATTCAATATTGATGTCGTTTGTTATTTTATTTAGAATGGTTTAAAAAAAACATTGAAATTGATGCCTTGGATTTATAGGAATTATAGGGACATTTTTTTTAAAATAACTTTCAATTTTTTTAAATTTGCCTTTGAGATGCTTTGTGAAAGTTTGGAAGACAAAATCTAGATTTTCCTCTAACCACTTTTGTGGTGAAGAAAACACTTTACTCAAATTTATCGAAATGGATTTCGTAAGTGTTAGACTGGCAGCATTGCCCTCATGCTGTCATGAAATAGGAACCATTGAAAATCTACAGCGAGTGAAGCTTCGTGCAATATCTTCCAAAAGAAAAGGTTTATCTGAGTGTTGCAAAAAAAAAAATTCAAGCATTTTTAGGCCTAAAGGCCACTTATCTGCCTGAAGCAGGCCTCTGTAGTCCACACCTCTGCTCTTTTTGTCTTGCTTTTTTCTTGAAAGTGTTGCTGGAGAAACATGCAAATAGTCCCTAATCTCAACCAATCATACACACTTCTTGAAAGTTCTAGGTAAGACATGGTACATTCCTCAGTAGTAGTTTTCACTCTTATCTTGCTTCAGCAAAGAGGAGTTTAAGGTGTTTTATGTCCATTTTATTCCTTTGTTGACATATTTTATGACCCAGTACTTTCAAGGCAGCTTCAAACTGGCCTTGCTCAAACAGAATAAACAGTTTTTCATGATACACAACTGTATTGTTTCTCAATATTCTGCCATACCTTTTACTTGCCATATTGCCACTGCAGCAGTCTTTTGTATTAATGAATATATTAAAAATATATTAAAAATGTCCAGGGTATACCCCCTCCTCTGGCCCAATGTGCACTGGAGATAGGCACCAGCAGACCCCTGTGACCCCAAAAGGGAATAAGCGGGTTGGAAAATGAATGAATGAATTAAAAATAGATGTTATCACTATTAGCATGCACCATAGAATGTTTCAGTTACAAAATAAACAACTCTGCTTTTAGCAGCGATCAAAGGGCTCCAGCACCACCAACACCGTCAACTCTCTGTGGCCAGTTTGTCGCAATATGCACAAGGCCCATCCCTATTTAGAAAATATATTCAACCAAGAGTACTAAACAGGTGTGACCCCTAGGGGGTGCCGTGATTGAGGTGCTTGTGATTTTTCTGTTATTCTTTTGGCCGATATTCTTGTAACATGTCAAAATCTGAAAAAAAGAAGTACCTTATCAAAGTTAAATGACGTATTTCCACTTGGTGGTGCTATAACCGAGAGTTTACACTGTAGATTAGTTCAGACATGGATTGTTAACATAGTTAAGACATAGACACTGCATGGCTGAGGTAAAACAACTTGCGACAGCCACATTTTAACAAAGTCAAAAAAACTTCACACTTTAACAAACAACATAATTTAAGACGAATGTTGGAGTTTGGAGATGAACAGAAAAAATCTCTGGGACATGTGTGGTAAAGTATGACATGAGCAAAAGTGGCCATTTTTAGGGGTTTTGCGAAATAACCAACTCCCTGTTGATTTTGGAAACGCGATCCATATTACATATATTTAAGTCTTGGTACACTACACATGTGCGCCACATTTCATTCACCTACGATAAATTGTTAGCCCACCATAAACAGAAATGCATTAGATGGAGCTATAGAGCCATTTTAGCCATTTCAAACCCCAATCAAACATATTCACGTTCTGATGTGTCTGCAAAATTCTGTGACACTTTGGTGCCCTTAAAAATGCATCAAAAGCTGTGAAACAATAATATTCTAAACAACTACAGCAGGGTTCTATGCACCTTCTGTGCTTGAGCCCTAAATATTGGATAACTTTGACTCTAAACTCTGAACTGAAAGCCCTTTATGAAACATCCACAAGCTCAGCTGAAGAAAAAAGATCCCACCTCACCAAAAATTTGGGCTCAACTGAACCTCAAAAATGGGATATCTATTCAAACCCTCACAATCCATTAACCTCAGTCAAACAATAGGAAATTCATCCCTCAGAACAGCACAATGAAAAAGTTCAACGCTTATTTCAGATCTTCTTTACAGAAATAGAACCCGATAATGTCTGGGGAAGCTGTTAATGGAGCAGAAATGATGCAGATGACAATGATTCATCTGTAAAAACTTCCCTCATACATCACAAAGCTTGATTGGAAAAGATAATCGAGTGCTACAACACCACAGTTCAGCATGTGTTGCCAGATGCTCTGAGCTAATTTGGCTCTTTAACTCGGTATAGATCCAGAAGCACCATGTGTTCCTGAGTTCCTGCTCAGCCTATCTATGGCAGAAGGTTAAAGGAAGGCTAAAAACAGACTATTTGGGGAAGCAGAGCTCTGTGTTCTCCCACACTCTGGAGCTTGACAGACAACTTCTCTTTAGGAAGAAAAGTGTGCTGGTTCTATGCCCTCAGCTCAGGGGCCACGGGTCACTGAGCATGTCAGAGGAGAGGGGGAATGGCATGATTCACTCACTACAGCCTTCAGTTTACTCCCTTACTCATTAATTTACTCACAATCGCTGACATGCACGTTCACAATCACAATCAGGGCAATTCACTCTATTCATTAACACAAGGCTTGCATTTCAGAGGCAGTGTATTATTGCAGCTATAAAAGCACATTTTGCTGGACCAGTATATATATATATATATATATATATAAAAGGAAACTGACAGACAGGACATTCATTGTAGAAAAAGTTCATATACAGCAAGAAGTTAAAAAAAAAACTTTTAGAGGAGACACATTTCTCACAACAAGAACATTAAGATTTTATCTGTCATTAAGAACACTGTAATGAACATAAAAACATTTAATTACTTAATAACAAAAATATTCAGTCAAATAACAAATATTTATTTAATTTCAGATGGGAAATGTTCGGGAAGGGAGTCACTCTTGGATTTATGTGGTCATTAAATCTGTGGTTTATAAGAAAATGCCATCCTGTGATACAAAACACAGCACTTGTTTTATGGTGTTTATTCTGTAACGCATTATGCAACAAACCGATTACAGATGGATGCTCAGGAACATATTTTATCTCTCTTGCATGCATAAATTAGCAGCTGGGTGTACTGTAATCAAAACTTTTCAAAATAAGAGTTCCAGTATTTTCAGAGCTTGTTTATAATTATATAATTCCTGTGGCTCAGTTGGTAGAGCATTGTGCTATCAACGAAAAGGTTGTGGGTTCAAATCCCAGGGAAAGCAAGAACTGACAGAAAAAAATATGTTCATTCAAATGTAAATCGCTTTGGATAAAAGCCTCTGCCAAATGCATAAATGTAAATGTAAATAACTAAAATAAAACTGCGTTTGTTAAAAAAAAGCCTTCAAAACAATTTTTTAAGATGCTTATAATTAATAAATTAACAGAATGTCAAACGGTTATTCATTTAAATGCTGTTTAGATATGTCTACTTGCATCACTTTATCAAGATTAATAACTAGTGTCTTCTCTTTCCAAACCCTGCCCAATCGAAATAAAGACATGAAACGCTTTATAATATTTCTATGAGACTGCTATTTTCACTGCTAGGAATGATTCGAATAAACGCTTAGGAATGTGGGAAATTTGTGTCTACATTTCACAATTAAACATTTGTGATTATTCAGGTGATAATTACCATCTCTGGTAAACAGATTTTTAAGGGCAGTGGGGCAGCTATTGATGACCACTTCTCCAACATCTGCATGGTGCCAGCAAGAAATGTTGTCCCACATCCCTCTGCAACCTGAAACAGAAAAGATATCATGAAAATAAACGCTGGGAATACCTTCATCTTACGTTACTAAAAGGCCATTGCATTCGGCAGAAACAGTAGCATTCCTTCTAGTGAGAAACTTGACATGTGTTTGACAGGACACATGAGACTAGATAAGGGCTGTAATCATTTACCAGGAGTTCTGCTCCTTAAAGGGAATTTGTTCATTTGAACATGACAAATGCTGCATGGAACTCACATCAAGTTTGACTTTTAATTAACTGCAAAAAAACTAAAAACAGAAAAGTACTGCTCCCTTTAGACCAGTTCACATAGTGAATGTGAGTGGTGCAAGGGTTGATTTTTGCATGGAGCTAGAAGCAGATTTTTTAAAAAGCTGGGTTTTTTGTCGCTCCAGAACCCCTCCAAGTTCAAGAAGTCTGTGTCTTCACAGATGTACTCAAAGGGCGCTAGTCTTGTGTTTATTAGCGTTAGTTTATCAATTTGTGTTAATTGTTGTTAATCTAATGCATATGTAAGATTGTGAATCATTATGTCTATATTTATATACATATTTATATTGTAACATTCAAGATAAGATTCTCAATCACTCTTTGAAACTGCTTTGTGGTGCAAAGGTGGAAAAAGGTTTACAATCAACATATGTGATTGCTTTAATGCAATCTGCCTCTGACAGAAACAGCATATATGGTCACACGGTCTCTCAAACATGCTGTCTGTTTACATTTCAACTAGACCATCCCGTGGGAGTGGACTCGGATTGGAAGGATACCTGGATACGGAATGATAGGCAGAGGTCAGGAAGCCCTCGCTGGTTTTCATTCAATGAAAAGCCTGTGATCTGGAAGGTTAGAGCTATTTCAGATCATGTAACCTCCTGGTATTCTTTTGCCTGTTCACTATGTAACTTACTACATGTTAATAAATTGAGATGTTCAATCTTGTCACTGGTTACTCTCTAAGCACTTTCAACAATAATGTTAAATGCTAAGAACTAAAGCACATGTGTCAAACTCAAGGCTCGCAGGCCAGATGTGGCCCGCCATGTAATCTAATGTGGCCCGTGAGAGCTTAAAAGTTTTGAGTGTCTAAAAAAAAAGATAACGAAAAAAAAAACCAACATTTCCCACAATGCCTTTGGCCTACTCACGAGTGAAACTGCAGAGCTGCTTGCATTGAATGTAAGACTCACGCATTTGAGTGATCTCTCACGCCACAACTCCGATTTCTCACGCTAAAATAAATTTTAAGATGTGAAATGGGCACAGTTAATAGTTTATCTGTGATCAGTTTCTTGAGCCTGATGATAAAATATGATGATTGATATGCTATGTCTTCAGTCTGTGAGGGGTTTTTTTTGTTTGTTTGTTTGTTTTTCGCTAAACAAGTTACACCAATGAGCTCAGATAAATGTCATCTGCTGGCTTGCTGCCATACTGCGAGATGGTGCCTCCGATGACATTTTTGATGTGCTGCAGAAGTCCGTCAGTAAAAATGCATTGCAGTGGGAAAACTTTGTGGGATTAACTACAGATGGTGCACCGACAATGTGTGAAGGAAATGTGGGCTTGGTTGGACTAATGAAGGGAAAAATGCAAAAAATGAACTGTGTTAGTGTGTTCAAGGACAGCAGCTCATCAAAGACTAACTTGGATGCAAGGCCGTGTGCAGCCTTTTTTTGTAAAATGCCACATGTGTCACATGTTCTTTGCAGTTCTGTTTTATGCTATTTTTCTTTATTCACTTGGACAGTTGGATCCTTCATTGATGGAGTTTTGTGGGTTTTCATAAGGTGACAAAAATCAAAAGGATTTATATTAGAACAACAAGCAAAGAATTGTTTCTATGCAACTGAATTGTCACTTGAATAAGTTATAAATAATGAGTTATTTAACATTAAGGAGTAGTTACATTTATTTTACATTACATTCGATTACATTGTTTTACATTTATAAGTTACATCTGGCCCTTTGAGTACAGCCATGATGCTAATGTGGCCCTTGGTGAAAATGAGTTTGACACCCCTGCTCTAAAGTATCACATAATGTAACAAAGGTTTAAAGGGTTAATTATAGCAAGTAAGTGCATTTCTATAATTAGCAATTAACAATTATCAATATATAGTTTACTATAGCTTCAATCAAAGCTAATGATAAAGGTAAACAATAACCATAAAATATGGAGTCAGATAAGATTTACATTCAATAATTAAAGTTCCGGCCAGTTCTGAAAGACAGAACACGGCTGAAACCTTCGTCCATGGTTGAAAACCGCTTTTGGAGTCACTGTGAAATCTTAAAAGATATGTTTATGAATATAATAACAATAAAATTACTAAATCTAAAGATTTGGTTATTCATTTACCTAAATATTCTGGAGCGATCCCGAAGGGGGAAGTGGGTGAGTATGGAGTGAGAGCAGAGCGGAACCTAAAGACAGTCTGGTCCACAAGGAAGAGACACTTTCAGGGTCTATGTTCAGATATGGAATGGTTTGTGGTATGTCTATACAAATGTATTGAGACTGAGTGGGTAAAAGAAATGAAATGTGCTTTATTGTAAATTTTTGTTATGGTTGCAGCACATTTTCACTCATTGTAAGGTTGTAGAATCATTTATAAGTGCAGGTCTACTCTGGATTTGCCGATAAGCCTCTTTCTGTTCCTTTAAAGCAACATCATCATTTTGTGTCACACAAATATTGTTAATAAACCTGAGATTGTACTGACCCTGCCTTCGCCATTACTGACAGCGTGACATAACTGGGTTAAATAGAGGTTGCGTTAATACCAGTAATGTTACAGCTCAGCTTCTTAAACTTTATAAAATGCAGTGAAAGATTTCCCTTGGTTTTCAATTGAGTCTTTAGTAAAACGGAGATAAACAGATGTGGTTTTCCATACATTGGCTCGCTCTTCAGAATGAAATGTGTCTTTTATTTTTTAAGAATAGGTTCTGCTGGTTGGTAATACAGCCGTTTAATAACAGACCAACATTTTAATCGTTACGTTTAGTCCTGAATCTAGAACTGTTTGATTTCTCAGTTCATGATGCCAATATTAAAGATCATGCAATATTTTAAACTAGAAATTCTTATCTGTGGGAAGTGAAAAACAAGCTCAGTTTTAACACAGTCACCAAAAAGGAGCAGACCTGGTGCTTTTAAGCATTTTCTAATGCTAATGTCTCTTTTGTGAAGCAGAAATAATTAAAATTGGATGTAATTCAGTGAATGCAATGCATTTATAATGGGAGAGACGCTTATATTTTCCCCATTAAGTCTATAAATCATCATGTACATTTTCAAACACTCTCAGAAACAAAGCAAAATGTCTATTTCAGAGCAGGCGACTTAAACATTAACCACAATGTGCTGTATTTCTGAAGTAATGATTGTACAACTAGCAACACAATAACACAAAAGTGCAATATTTTGAATTATTTCAAACATTATTGATGTCTTTCAATTACCTATTTCATGAAAATACAGTGGATAAACAACTTTTACATGGGAAAAGCATTTGTAAGGAAAAGCATTTGTAAGGAAAAGCATTTTAGTTGAATAGGACTTTGCAACAAAGCACAACACATTAAAGTCCGCTCTGAATAGATGAACGGCACTGTGTCCCACAGAATCAAGTCAGTGTGGGTTCAGAACACTATAAAAATAAATAAAGACATGACTGTCATTTTTAGGAAGCTTTGCTTTAAACAGCTGGATCTCCTCTGAAGCAGCTGCCAGATCTGAATAGAAATAGGTTTCTAAGAAAAAGCAAGTCACTCAACATGTATTGTCCAAGATACAGTAAACGATCCCTCTGATTGGTCAGTTCTCGGTCTGTTGAGCTGTTTATTTCAGATAATCTCCTGAGAGATGTCACTCATTTCAACCATTAAAATGCTCAAGGTTAATTACTAATAATCGGAACATCTGTCTACAGATGGACAACATGCAGCTGTCAACAGAGCAAACCCAGTCAAGGCAGTTTTCCCACACTTCTATAGTTGCAAATCACAAAGATGAAAAATAAACATCAAGAAATAATAAAAGCCAGAATGCCTGGGTTTTTGCGTGTACAGTAAATGCCCGTGTGTAACATTCAATTTGTTACATAAATAAACAAACAGGGAGCAGGGTTCCCTGTGGTTATTTAATACTCAGAAAAAGCATAAAGAAATCATCAAATCTCATCTGAAACACGGGATTGAGCCATCACTAAAACATCTGGCTCCTTAAAAGCTTCAAAATTGGATCCGAGAGCTCTCGTCATAAACCTCTGGGTAACCTTGTTGCAGAGAAATGCATGCCTCGCTATAATCCTGGCAACATTAAATTTGTCTTTGTCTGAAAACTAATTGCATTTTAGCATTTAACAAGTGCTGTCTTGGAGACTTCTTTAAATAGAGTAAACTGTGAGATAACGTTGGCCAAATTATACTAAGAAAGATACGTCTACAAGATGTAGGTCACGTCTAATACAGA